GTCACTGTGGTCGGCATGCTTGAAGGGCTGCTCTGTGGCAGCCACAAGTGTCTGGCAGGTGGGCAGGTACGACATGGCAACAAGAGCTACACAAAGTTTGCTGTCGCACTGTTGGACAACTTCGGATCCTTAGCCTGACCTGTTCGAACACCTTGAGCAGAACCCATGACAGACACACGTGCACGCGGTACTCTCGTGTAGTTGCCATCCGAACGTTGACAGCCAGAGCACCATGCGTCACCAGCACAACTAGTCAAACGATCTTTTGATGAGCTTCGGGAGTTCCTGGCTGCTTCAGCGCACGGCTTACCGGTTTGCGGTAACCAAAACTGCAATTTTTCGCAGTCTGTTTTGCGAGGCCAGCTTTTGGGAAAAGGCTGAAGCTCTTTTTGGATCTCTTGGTGCTCGAAAGAACTGAACCGATCATCTCAGAACATTGGGTTGTCCTTTTCAACACCTGGCCCGGGCGGAGATTAGCAACTAGTAACAAGCCATTCGTTGTAAGTCTTCCTCAAGGATCTAGGATGCAAAGGTTGAAGAACGATTATGTTAATGTACCCCCTATGGCCTCCGATACCCAGCTGCTTTGCCTACCGTGAACTTGCGTCCGTCAGCGACCAACTCCGATAGTGTCAAACCTCCTCAAGTGATTGCCATGTTTAAGGTGTGATGGACAGGTTTCCCAAATTGGGGGGTACCCTTTTGGGTGTCCTTATAATAAAGATTGTAGTGTTCTAAGGTCTATATTGGGGTTCCCTATTTTGGGAAAACTACCATGTCGATGGTTTCCTACGGAGGCCATCTGTGAGCCGTGTCATTTCTGGGGCTTACCAGCACCACCCTTTTCTCGTAGTTTCCATTTTATTTTCCGTTATCCTTACTAACTCCAATATACTATAGTAGGTTCCATTTTATTCTCATTATCCTTACTAACCCCAATATGCTATAGTAGCTTCCATTTTCTTTTCCATTATCCCCATGTAACCACTCTCGGAATCCCCGAAACCAGGCCATCAGGCTTTGCAATGGGAAGGCTGGACACGCATCGGCCCATCTCGAAGGATCGCTTAACAGTCATTCACCCTGATCCCTCACACTCCCTTGTCAGTGTTGGTACCTGTTGCCATCAACTATACTGAGGCCAGGCGTTTGGCAACGGAACTTGCAAGTGGGCAAATCGAGAGGAACGATCATGATAATTACGCTTCTCCTTGAAATGCATAATTACAGCGTTTTCTGACGCTAGGCCTCTGCACACCATCCGCAGCGCCTTCACGAGATTTGAAGAGGTCCTCTGGTCCTGGTTTGGAATGCAAAGCTATGCGTACAAAGTTGGTTGCAGAAATCCTTCAACACCGAGCAGACTTAGGCAGCCGCAACCTCGACATGTTCAAGCAAGCTTCCGTTTGTGTAGGTCTCGAGCTTAGAGTAATAGCCGAGTAAGCGCGTTCAGCAAGCTACATCAGGACAAAGACACTTCCTACAACTCTGCTCGGTCCTTGCGATCTCAACAGCGGAACCCTCTGCCGACAAGGCGGTGGTGGCTCATGATCCATGCGCCGTAGCGAGAGCACGGCCGGATGTCAGAAGTCCTTGACGGGCAACCGCGACTACAAAACATCACTCCCTGCTTGATTCTTGGCATGCATCGCCTCGTCTCCAGAATCCCTTGCACCGAGAAGTTCGAGTCTGCCACTTCCTTCATCCTCATCTTGGCAATGCTGCCGTGGGCCCTTCATGGTGCTGGCATTCTCACTACCTTCTCTTCTCGGAGGCATGGATAGCTCCAAGACTTGTCGGCAGATCAGCGGAAGCCTGTCAAGCCCAGCAAGCGAAACGCAGTTCCTGCTCCTACAGCATTTGCATACGGTTCGCTGGATGCACTTATTGCTTTAACGCGCTCTCTTACACGTGGAAACTCACCCAACGGCAAAGGAGCGGCGCTTGGAGGAGATATGGCGTAGCCAAGAGGTCGGCACTATGGAAGCCGGCCAGGTCAAAAAAGCGCTGCGAGCATGACTCCTCGGTCGAGAAAAATGACTAGAGCCGTGGTCCTTTCGCACCTTGACCCCATTATCATACCACGCTTCTGCTTAAGAATCCCAGATTCCAGCCGCGCTAGCTCACTGCACGGTATCCTGGCATAGGGCAGCTCAATTTGCTGTAGCTGTCCCATGCGCACGTGCAGGTTACATACACAACGTTGCAGTCGTTCTGCCAGTGCCGAGGAGGTGGAGATCAAGTCATGACCAGCCCCGGCAACTTAGGACATGCTGCTGCAAGCTGCACTCATCTAACATGTATATACACTCATGAGGCATCATACTTGAAGACGTCCTGACTTGCGATTTGCTTTCACTCAACCAACCTGACGCTGTCCATTGTGCAGGTGATGTTTCCGGAGCAACAATTCCATGGCGAGGCTAAAACCATACTGCGGCCAATCAGCATGCTCTCCTGTAGTTTGTAACTCCACAGTCCCTCAGCGATCACAAAGTGCTACACCTGTCCTTCTGCTATGTGAGTAAAATTCTTATGAACCCCCTCTACCCTCAATGTAATTCCATCAGTGCATTATCATTAGTATGGTCCTACATTTCGATGAAAAAACACCCATCATGTTGAGACCCCTGCTAAGTATCAGAGCAAGCCTTGGCTATCTGGCCAAGCGCATTGCGCAGCCGAAGTACTTCCAGGTGCCACGGCCTTCACCGCCACCAAACAGAATGCAAGAGAACATGGACTCTAACTACTGTTTTATTTACGGTTTAGGGAATGGAGAAGAAAATGGAAGCTACTATGCTGGAGAATCAAGCGGCAAGAGTGGAAAATCAAATAGGAACTAAGGCTTATGTAGGGATATGTATATATATATATATCCATATATATATATATAAAAGGGAGTGGACGAGAAAATGAAAACTATTTTTCCTGGGAGTTATATAGGGATTACCAAAGGAACTATTCCTTTATTGACGTAATATCCTTCCTGGATTAAACTTGTCTGCACAAGAATGACTTGATTTTTGGCTATACGCAGAGTTGCAACAGGGCATCGTGACTCGGTAAGAGATGGAGAAATTTCCAAGATTACACAGTATTACTGCGAGCAATATTTCCTGCCATAGGACTTTAGTTTTCTACGTATGAGAGCGGCTATGTTGAAGTACTTCCCATCAGCGAACGGCTGGAATCCGTGCACCACAATTTGCTTTCCTAAAATTAGGTTGGCAAGATGTAGCGAATGATTCGGGAATACGTCTAGCCCCCTGTCCAAGCTGCTCCAAACTGACGGTGGTGGGTATGACAAGCCCGCGACAAGAAAGCAAAGGAGGAGTAGGACGAGAATGAGCAGTAGTAGTAGCGGTGGTTGTGGGCAGGAAGACGATGTCTGAAACAGTCTTGGCACCTCTCGGGCTGCCCACTGTGGCTAGCGGAGGACACCTGAAACGGTTGCGAAAACGCACTAGTGGCCAAAATGCTTTCCGTGTAAAAAACATACAGCCCAGGTTCACCAGCCACGGATTCAATAACAGCCCTAAACTCACTGCCAGCACTCATCTCTGAATCCGCGACCCCCCCAGATCCCCAAAACAACAAGAGAAATTCGATAATGACTGCTGCCAGTTTTTTCAAACCTTTCATTTTTGTGCTGGGATCTCTCATCAGAAAAGGGATGCCCTCAGGGTGACGGTAGACAAATTTGAGGGGTCCAACTTAAGGATTATGCGGCATAAATTAGGCAGGAAGAAACTCTCATATGGATCTTCAGTTCACGCCTGGAAGGTTCTTCCTTTAGCAAGCTCACCAATTATTCGTTTCTTGCCATCAAGACCTGTCCACTGGGTGTACCACTGCTGAGTCGACGGCAGGTGCCTCCTGAACGTAGATCCCTGTGGCTCTAAGTGTAGAAGCAATACCAGACTTGCACCCCCAAAGCTCATACATATTGCCGACATTGGTGTATGTGGAGCCCTAGGGGATGGGAAGTTTCCCAATATAGGGGTATCTGAAGGGAACCTCAATTAATAGGGTTCTACAGTAGAAGCACCCGAATAAAGAAAGGCGGCTCACTCTCTCGCAGCGGTCTTATTGCGACAGCAGCTCACTGAAACACCCAGCAGCGAACTTCCCCGGGATTAAGGGTTCACCTTTGGTCTGATGGGTTTTATACAAATTCGGAGAGCAGGATGGCAAAAGCGCCGTTGGAGAATAGGACTGGCCATGACACGGCAAGACATCCATTCATGTATGCACCGACATATATACGCATATATGTGTATAGATTCATACACATACATCCACCCGTATATGTACCCAGACATATACGCACATCCATGTGCGTAGATGTAATACTAACATATGTATACCCACACGTACACATACAAAAAAACAGAATGCTTTGGCTGTCCTGATCACTGCCCGGCCAGGCGGGTGTGGCATCGCCATGAAGCTCTGCCTTAGCCGCCGAAACCAGCAATGCACTGCGGAACAATATTGGGCCCCTTTGATGGTAATATCACTGCTATTGCTGCTGGTGCTGCTGCCCCTACTTCTGCTGTTCCTACTGCTGCTCTTTCTCCTTTTCCTGCTGCAGCCACAGCTACTACCCCTGGTTCGTTTCTGCTTTGCTCTGCTGTCTAGGAACCTACGGCTCTACTACTGGACGGTCCAACTGCTGGATGGCTGTACTCATGGATTAGTCACCTCACTGAACTTGCGCGCAAATCAGTTACTTCTGCAACAGGGTGTAGTACCCAATACTCTCTCATGCTTCTGCGGCTGTTCTGCACACCTGTGCTTCCCCTCCGCCATTTCTACTGCCACCTTGCATCTTCTGCTTCTCCGACTAAATCAAACAGCGACGGCCATGGGTCCCGTAGGAGAGTTGATTTGCATTCCGCAGCATCGACATCCTGTTTGGAGATCTCTACATGCGACATGCCCGACCAGGAACTTCACAACAAGGAAGTGCTTGAGGCCGTGAGCGCAGCTGAAACCCACAAATCTCCCAAATGCGCGTACAACCCACATGAAAACCTCTGCGATCCCATGTTTGCCGGAGTGAAGACTGGAAAACGTTATCCAGCCTGATTTTGAAGGTCCTGAGCCCATGGCCAGGAGAGCCATGGCTTCGAGATCAGCAGCTGTGGAGCTTCGCCTACTTGGAGGTACATGGACAATAGTTAGAATCGGGTTAGGACGGGCCTATTAGAGATATAACTCCCAATCCAAGCACGGAGCATCACATGTAAAACCAAATAGGAGATTTATGGATGGGGTGAACGGGGGATCAGTGGCTCTTGGAATTATGTATAGACATACTTACACATTTACATAGTTTATGTGTATGTGTAGATATACATATACACATACATACATAGATTTTAGAGGCTTAGGAAAGTCATGGAGCATCATATCTCATTTTGGCTAAGATATGGTGGGGGGGGGGGGGGGTNNGCGGGTGGGGAGTCTGTATACCGGTGAGGGGGATAACTATATTGGTATAACCTGCGTGCAAGGACCTATGAACCTTCATGTCACATGCCAGTCGGAAGGCGTGGAGTGTGTGGTGATGATGATGCCACCAACATAGAACCTTTGTTGCAACATGAGGGATTGTGGAAGGGCTATATGCAACAATGTTGTCAAAATCAAAAAAACCTGCATGACTGCATCACTTTGGTGATTCACCAGTGCTCGAGCTCCGAGGGTCATCAGTTGTGAGGGTAGCGATGAGTATTTCGCCAACAAACATGCCCTGATGTGCTTGTCTCTCAGAAACACTTCCATATCCACCACAACCAAGCATGCTGTCCCGAACGAGGGCCTTCCTGTGCTCGAAGTGCCTGCGAGCAGAACACTGTGTAGTCTTTCTGTGTAGATATGTCACAGCACATCTCCAGCGCATGCATGCCTAAATCTATGAGGGCTAGAATTTCAGTTTGCCTAGAAAAGGCAACAGAATGGCAGGTGCTTAAGCTCAAAGATCACCCGCGCGGACCACGGAGACCCTCGAGGCTTACCATTCACATCCTCATTTCTAGTCATCTGAAAATGAGGGCCTTCTAGATTCTCCGACCAAGCTTTGCATCCCCAGTCAAATTGATGAATCATCCCTAAACCCTAAACCCTTAACATAGGATCCCGGGGCCTCACGTAGAAATCCGCATCATACCTCCAACCAAACCCGCAGAAGACCCTTTAGACAAAATGCTTTTCCTGATGTGTCAAGCCCCTAGAGTCCTTTATATAACCTCTCAATAATCCCAGTTTCTATTCCCATGTTCCATGTTCTTTTCCCTTTTNNGTTCTTTTCCATTTGGCTTTCCACTCTCCTGAAGCGTTTACTTTTTCATTTGGCTTTCCATTCCCTGCACCCCTATGTATTAAGTAGTACATATAGCTTCCATGTCATTTTCCATGTCCTTTTCCATTTGGCTGTTCATTCTCCTGCACCCTTAGTCTTGAGTAGTACGTATAGTTTCCATGTCATTTTACATTGGCTTGTCCATGTCAGTTTCAACTTTCAACTATCCCCTCTATACCTCCCACCATCCCCATGTCCATACATATGTTTACATTTCCATCTATATTTATAAACCTCTGTAACTCAACATAAGTATACTCTGAATTTGGTCGCACAGACCTTTTAAACACTGCGAAGCGGGGTTAGCTCAAGGGCCCGGGTATTTGAGCCATACGGCATCAGAATACAGGGTCTACAG